GCTAGCTAACTGGTATCCTTGTGTTTAGCTAAGCTAATTGTCAGTCAAGTCAATGAAAGGGAAAACGTGTATTTCTAAAGATGTAGAACTATTACTAAGGGCCATATTTTAACTGATGTACTGATGTACTATCCAGATTTAAAGTTGAATTTGATAGAGTATAAACCTTTTTAGGTTCTCTATTAGTTTTGAATTGTTATGCTTGAACTATTTGTGCTGTTATTTCATAGGAGAAATAATGCAGTAGAGTTCCTTAGCTGAACATAAACTTTGAGTGTTTAGAACTTATATCTTGTCTACTTAACCTCAAGTAGAGTTTAACACAGGTAATATTTATTTTACTTAGGTAAACTTCAAGAAAATATAGTTTTTTTTGCAAGTTTCCGATAATTTGCTACTCTTTGCCCAGACTGGGAACATCATATTTCACTCATGCAATCCATTCCCCTTAAAATATTACCCTCTCCACTTCTGTTCAACCCAAATCCTTCATGCCGTGCCCTAACTCTTCCCTGAAACAAGTCACATAACACTCTTCCTGGCCTCTCAGGTCATCATTCATTCCCTCTGACACTTTCTGTCAAAGACTGACGTTTGAGCCTCCCTCACTGAACCTGTGAACTTTCTGCCACCTCCATTACTCCTCATGAATGCAAAAGCAATTTCTGAATCTATGACAGGGGAATAATCTTTTCATTTTCACAACCTTGTTGCAAAAATCAGACAGGAGTCTGTTTATTCAGAGCCTTAAAAGATAAGTTTTGGAAGTGTTTAGAGCATGTGCAAACATTCACATAAATACTTTAAGCACTCATCTGTTGACAAATCTCTCATCAGAGCTATAGCTGGCTCCCAAGCCTGTTGCAAGTCTTTGAGAGAGACAGAGTGTTTCTGTGTGTGTGTGTGAGCGTGTGTGTGTGTGTGTGTGTGTGTGTGTGTGTGTGTGTGTGTGTGTGTGTGTGTGTGTGTGTGTGCGTGTGTGTGTGTGTGTGTGTGTGAGCGTGTGTGTGTGTGTGTGATGAGGGTTTAGGCACGTTGTCTGCTAGGCCGTCCAAGAAGCCCCAGGGCACCTCAGTAAAAGAGATAATTATCTTTTATCTGCTATGTTGTGACGGGAGATTATGGTTCAAATTTACGATTGTTAAGGAGACAATGCAGCGCGAGGCTGCTCTTTTCAAAGTGGTGAGGGGGTCTCGAACAAGTGAGACAACTCCCACAATGCCGCAGCAGCTCATCCCTCATGTTTCAGGCTTCAGGTCTTTCGAAACAAAAGGAAAGGATAAGACCTACAACAGCCATTTACTTTCAAAAAGGACAATAGTAATCCTTTAACATATTTATCGATGCTATGTAAACAGCAAATGATATCTTGTATAGGTGAGTGATATTGAGAAAGATTGAAGATACCGCAGACTTCATAAGGTCCCTTTTAGCTTGCTATGGAGCATAAAATACCTTTAATACACCCTTAGATAATACCTTAAATTACTACAAAGTGTCTCTGCTGCAGAGATTTGAAGTTTTTCTGTTGGACGCCAAAGTCAATAGCACTTTAAACACAGTTCTTAAAGTTAAATGTACCACAAAAATATTCATTGGATACATAGAAACTGCTACGGAAAACTTTATTGAGTGAGATTGCTTCGTTTTTTGCTTTACTGGCTAATGTATTTGAAATAGACTTTTTCACTTTCTATTTTAGAGATAGATGAGGATATCAATGCCCCTCCAGTGTCTGTGCAGCTTTAGTCAGAAGCAGGTTAGCGTAGCTTAGCAAAAACACTGTAAACAGGTGGAAACAGCTAGCCTGGAATCTTTGCTAAATGGTATTAGTGCACAATTTGTAAATTCAAGCTGTCAGAAAAGTTACACTTATGATACAAAATGTGGATAATAAGGGATTTAAATGTTCCCTTCTCATTAAACACAACCTCAAATGTAGATTGACACTTTGGCCGCCAAACGTCCATTGTACATTTTAATGATAAAAACATACTATACAGAGTCTGATGTGTTTTACGTTGTTCTTTTGTTTTATTATACAACAAATAAAGAATGGAAACTGTTGAGTTCCAGCCCTCAAACGCACAAACTCTAGACTGTAACAGACATTGACTGTCATAAATATAACTAGACGTCTTCTGGGTTTATTTGTGGGACAGGAGAGAACCATTCACCCACAACACACTGCTGACTCCCCACATGTGACCAAACTGACACAGATTGGCCGTCCTTCAAACCAATATTACCTAAACTAGTCTCTGTGTCTGTATGTGGAAACTGTAGCAAACCTTTTGATACAATTTGAAAAAGGCCTATACTGTACAAACAAATGTCTACTTCTAGCACTGTGAATATCATAGGTTCAGATTATTTAAATGTTTAGTATTCAAAGTAACCAAATTCCTCTGACATGTTGACCCCAAATCTGCCCTGACCTTTTCCTGCAGTGACAGCGGCGCTGCCTGGATGAAGATGGACTATTCCTTCGAGCCGCTTACAGCCACAAATCTGTCATCATCCTCACCTGAAAGACGAGAGGCAGACGCAGGAAGAGAGACAGACGGACGGAGAGGGAGACAGAAATAAGTGGTTTGTGGCGACGGTGACCATAATGATGGAGGGAAGAGGAGATCACAGAGAGGTTGTTGGTCCGTTTTTATCCTCACCTGAGCTAGCCACTGCACATCCAGTCACCCTTGGCAGAAGTCCACAGCCAAACCGAGAGAAATAAGGTCAGTCAGGGGCCATGGGGTCCCACCGCGGGGCAAAGCACTCCTCAATCCCTCTGTACACACACACACTATTCCCATTCTCATCCCACATGGCCCCTTGACCTCGCTATTAAAACACAGGAGCAAATCTCCCGATTGGTCACGGCGGCTCAGAAACAAATGATGCCAAATACCTGACTTCTGTATGGCCTTTTCTGCAGGGAGGCATGAGAGGGCTGCAGCTGCCGGATTTGGCATTCCACTTGTGCAAATATATTCCGATATTGGAAATGTGGTTTCCAACAGTCTGCATGATTTTGGGGTAGGGGAAGCTGTGGGAGTTTACAGGGCAACTTTTCAACACTAGCTACCAGAACAAACAGGGAGTGTTTCGTAAGAGGGGATTGACTTAGCTGATGATGTGCAGAAGAGAGCAGTAATATAATAAGAGAAGAAATAAAGACATTTCATATTTTCGTGTTGGCTGTCTTGATTTAAACACCTTGTTATTTACTCCTGCAGCCCATCAGGGAAATGTACCTGGATGTTGTGAATCAGAGGCTAAATGTCTTTGTTTAGGTTGTTAGTCGGCTTTCATGCTAAAAAGAAAATATTGAATACATCGCATCTTTGCTCTATCACTTGTGCTCGGCTCTGATTCGTTGTTGATCATTTCAAATACTTTTATTTCAATCTGTAATGTAGAAGACGTAAAGCGGTTGATGTTGTCTTCGAGATTCATGGCAGGCCAGACTAAGATGGAAATAGTTATATTAACCTTTTAGTGGTGTTTACAGTGTGTTGGATTTGTTTTTTAATACTTTTTGTAATTGCATCCCTATTTCTTGTTAGAGGAATAATATTACTTAATTTATTTTAGTCACATTCTATCATCTATTGCCTTTTTTTAAGGGCACTTGTATTACTGTTTGATTTTCTACAGGGTTTGCACTTCAAACTGCGCTACGCACTATGGTTTCAGCTCTTTCACTCTCACAATAATAGCAATGATTTATCCATAAAAACACTCACTAAGGTAGTTTTCTTTTCTCCCTTTGTGCTTAATATCACATATAAACTGTAGAGCATTGTGCAATGTGGTCAGTTTTTGTTTGTGGTCTTCAACCAGTATTGAAAAAACTCTTTAAGAAAAAACTCATTTGTACAATTTAGCCTTTTAGGAAGCAAACTCCTGCTCTCTGCTGCACTTTCTCAATGCATTGCGATGCATTTGAACCTGTCACCTGATTGTGTGTTGAATTTGCACTATCCTCCTTTTAATGAACAATTTCATTGTTGTACCTTGAATGGTCCCCCATCCCCTCAGGAAGCCTTTGCCTCCTGTCAGGTCATCATTGTAAATAAGAATTTGTTCTTAATTGATCAAATAAATTATTATATATATTAAAATAAAGGTTCTACTACTACTACTACTACTTAATCTACATATATTTTTTTATATATGTCTACTCTATGCAATTTTTTGTTTGTTTTTATGTCTTTTTCTAGTATCTGTATTCTGTGTGATATCCATTTTCTGTGAAATGTCTATGTGAAGCACTTTGGACTGCACTTGTTGTATGAAAGGTGCTATACAAATAAAGATTATTATTGTTTTATCCATGGAAACTCTACAGTGCAATCTTGAGCAGAGAGGATGAACTTTTGAGTTGTCTTCCAAAAAGACGTCATAGTATTCAAATGTTGAGGACGATCGAGACACTGTGGTTATTTCAGCGTCCAAAGCTCCTCTTATTTTCCTGCTCATTTCTCAGCAGTGTGAAGGTGATGCACATAGCAACATGTGAAAACAATAAAGAGATTTTTGTTCATCTTTATGGTCTAGAAAGTATCTTAAAGTTATATTTATCAGCATCTCTTTGATATGAAGTGTGAAAGAAACCTGATCCTGAGTCAGTGGGAAATGCCTGAAATGATGCTGTTTCCTGATGAATCCTCCTCGCTAGATGAGTTGTATTTGTTTGATGTGTGTGTACGTTGCTGCGGGTCGCTCGGTGTGTATTTATGTATCAGTAGGATGAGACAAAAGCCCCTTCAGAACATGGTGCCTGTGTGGCCTGGCCTCTGTGACCCTGCCATTTAATTTGTTCCTCCATGGCCACTGTTTATTTCTGCTCTTCCTGTTTGTGCTAAACTGACCGTAAGAGTCGTTCCTGTGAATGCTGCGTAAAAGCCGAGTGGCAGGGTGTTGCTGGTTGTGGTTGTGGTGAGTAGGTGGGGTGATGTGTCAAAGATCACAGAAAACACGGCGCTCGACCACAGTGCTAACATGTCAACAGAGATTAAACTAGTTTATTATTTTCAAAGAGGAAAAAAAATTACGAAACAAAAAAGCAGTCATATTTTACACTAGTGATTATTATTAAATTTTTACAACCATTCAGTCTGCATAACATAAAGAAATAATTCTACATCTTTGTTTATTTCGTATTTTTGGTACTCTGATTTATACATACAAATAACAAATACAGGAACTTTTTTCACAATGCATATAATCTGTGGGCAGGAAGAATGTCTTCAGGTCGTGTGTGTGTGTGTGTGTGTGTGTGTGTGTGTGTGTGTGTGTGTGTGTGTGTGTGTGTGTGTGTGTGTGTGTGTGTGTGGTGTGTGTGTGTGTGTGTGTGTGTGTGTGGTGTGTGTGTGTGTGTGTGTGTGTGTGTGGTGTGTACGCATGTGTCAACACAAACCAATTGCCCGAGACCTATAGCACATCCAAAAAAAAAAGGTGAGAGCCAGAGCTGATGACTCTCTGCAAACTTAATGCAACACAATTCACGCAGGCAAAAACCGAGGCCTGCCCTTTCTCAAGTCTCGTCCCTCACCTCCTCCCTTTTCTCTCTCCTCAGGGACTCGTAGGTGTCCTTTCCTCACTCCTCAGGCGGCAAGTCTCTCCTACTGCTGCGACTCGTACCCTTCTCGTCGTCATTAGCTGCCCGGGCATGTTTCCTTTTTTTTTCTTACTTAATTAAAAAGTCTTCATTAAATGTACTGTATTTCATACAATTTGTACAAATATATTCAACGTCTATCTCCAGTAAGAAGAACAAGGGGAGCGGGGGGTTTTCCTGTTACACAGGTGCAAGGTGAAGAGAGGTGGGAGTGGAAACTTCTGGAGAGGTCGTTGTAAAAGTCTGTTTTTGTGATGTTCGTGGTGTGGAAAAATGGCTTTTTGTACACAAATGGAGCTCCTTATCATGTGGATCAGCTGGGAGGACAGCCTCTATGTGGTGGAGGCGGCGTCGGATAAGGAGAAAAAAAAGTTCCCCTGGTTGGAGGAGAACAACATCTTCCCCCTGGAGGTCAGTGCGCCACAGTCAAGTCTGCAAAGCATTCACATCGCAGAGGTACACTTTTGTGTTTATAAAAATAAGATACAACTGAGGAAGAGGATAAGAAGCCGGAAGCCTGTCGTTCTCGCACCGTAGCTGGTGGGGGGACAGGGGGGGCTTAGATCGGACCGAGGAGCAGTTTATTTGTCTTTTAGGATATGGAAGCAGGTCAGCAGAGGTACCGAGGGGGTGTGGTGGTGGCGAGGGTTCAGGGGCGGGGCAGCGCAGGGAGCTCTAACCCATGGCTGTGACCATACTGGAAGGGTGGTGGGGGGCGAAGGAGGGGTGCATGGGTGTGGGGGTGCTCAGCATGTGGCCGGAGTGCGAGAAGGGAGGGAAGGACGACATGTGGCGGGAGAGGGCGGCCGGGCTGAAGGAGCTCTTGTCCATCAGGCTCTTGGAGAAGTCGTCCATGCCGTCCTGGGACTTTTTGCTCTTCTTGGACTTGCTGGACATCTTCCTGTTCCGGGTCTGGATGCCTTCCTTCTTCATGGTCAGAGGTCGGTTGATCTGCTCTCGAAAGGAGACAGAGAAGATGGCAAATTAGTATTTTGGGATAGAGTGATAGAAATCTTAAAAGTGGAGATTCATACATGAAGACATCTGTAGTTGTCGCTCCATTTACATTAAGAAACACAATAAAAGAAACCTTAAGTGAAGGGTGTCATCACATTTGAAAATAAGAAAGGAAATGTGACACACAGCTTCTTAGTCTGCTTTGAGGCAGAATTTGGGGAGAGATAATGATATGTAATGGAGTCCCATTACAGGGCAAATCTGACTGTCCCATCCTGAAACAGAAGATTGTTTATATTGTGTTGCAGTGTGTGTGTGTTAGGCTGGATTTAAATGTTGATTCGTTTAGGCTGAACTGTATCTGTGACTGTGCCAGAAAGAAAGAGAGAAACAGGAAAGATGGAGGGGAGATGGAGCGAGTGTGCAGAACAGAGACGGAGAAGGGTCTGGCAGCTAACGGCGACCACAGAGACACATGGCCATGACGACCGCCAGTGCCGGCCAAGTCCTCCTCTCCTCCCTCCTCCTTAACCGCGTGGCCGTCTTCTGGCCAAAATGGCCCCAGCTGCCATATTCCAGCATAGGTTTATCTGGGGATGGGAGCTGGATGATGGAATTCGGGCTTTGAGCAGGATTATGAGGGGAGGTGGATGAGGCCGACTGGCTTCCTGCTCTTTCTGAGCACTTCTTCCTGGGGAAAGGGGAGATTCTTCCTATTGCCTGAGACATTGGCATTTTAGTGGCCTGAGTGATTAGTGGAGGGCAGAGATCTATCTGCAGTGATGTGGTTTCACTCTCTAAGATGTGGCTCCATACTGGGGGACTCTGCCGTGCTTCCAGCTCTAAGGCATGCTACGCCCACCTAGAGCCAGTTAGGCCTGCCCTTTGATGCTGAGATGTCTCACAGAGGAAGCCTTGAGCCTCCGGCCTGCGCCCGGCCGCCGCCCAAGCACATCAAACAAAAGCCAAGAGAGTATAAGTCAATGACCACCGCAGAATACACAGAGCAGACCCTCACATCCTCTGTCCCAACACCAGCAGCTAACCACCTGAAAGCGTGCTCAGAGGTGTCAAAGCTGAGCACACTGTACTACGTTCAGAGATCGAAAGATGAGACATCTTTCACACGCGGTGACTAAACCCTGATTACTGAAAAGAGTCTGTCTGTGTTTTTGGTGTTAACAAGGCCTCCTGTTTGTGGCAACTTTTCCTGTGTTCACAAGCTTCTTATCTAAGCTTACGGGACAACACACTGTACCACCAAGTGTTTTGGGACACACATGCAGGCGAGCAGGGCTAAAGTCTCCATGCAAAATGTGGAATTTGTTTCAAAGGGAGCAACAGAAGTCTGGATTTACCTAAATAAACTCATTTTACAATTACTCCAAGGTCAGGGTCAGTTCAAATGCTAATATGTGGACTGGGAAATATTCTTCTTCTCTCCTTTTAACCTTGGTCTGAATCTGTTTCTGCAGCCCTATACCAAAAGTAACATGGGAAAATGATTTAGTGTGAGGCGCTTGCGTGACAAGCATGGAGCGGGATACTCTGCCCCTCACACACAGGAATATGTAACCTTTATCTGTTGACTGAAGAGGGGAAATATTACCTACATGTGGCCTCCAGAACTTATTATTATTATTAGTTACAACAATGGCTTTTTGATTAAAAGTGACAGCTTTGTGCTGAGGAGAGGAGAGAGGGGGTTGAGATAAACGAGTCCCTGGGGTCTTCAGATTGAGGTTGTGAAATGATGTGGTGAGGCGCTAACCGACCCAAAACGAATCAGGCGGATTGGTGGTCAGAGGGGGGACTCTGAGTCCCTGGCGAACCAAAAGGCTAGAAATAAGAAGAAAAAAAAATCGGCCTGGAAATTAATCGAATTTTAATTAAGCCCCCTTCTTTAATATTCAAAAGCGAACCGGCTGCGGGCTTGGTTCACTTATACATTTTAGATTCGCACTTACTGCCAATAAATCCTATTAATTCCACACTGTTTGTTATCGCCGTGGCCCGGAAATCCTCTGCAGGGACAAATCAGATAAAATATGCAGAGGAGGAGGGCAAGGTGGGACGTGATGAGGGAGAAATAAAGATGGAGGAATAAGTATTCAGGACATGCTGTTTGATGGGATACCGAGATCTCCTATGAAGGTTTATTACTTACATTGTGCAGTTTGTAGTACAGGCCGCAGGCGTTACACACCGGGTCCCCGTTGGCGTTTCTCCGCCACAGCGTCGTCGTCGTGGTCTGGCAGTTTGCACACGACGTCCCGGCGCGTCTGGCTGCAGACTGCACAAACACAGAGGGGCAAAGAGCGTCACGTGACCAGGTAATTACCCAACCAACATGGATGCATTTAAGATCTACATTCAGGGCTGCAATTCCTGTAAAGAATACGTGATTCTAGCACTGTGATAAAAATGAAAATATGGCGTTTGTTGATGTGATTTAATAAATAAATATTGGGTTTAAATAGATCACCAAAAAATCGTCTTTAAGGTTGTTTTTTTGTAATTTTTGCCGACATGTATATGGCATCTTGCATAATAGCCTACAACATATCTATAAATGCAATAAGAAATTGCAATTTTACTTCATTTCATTTAAATGAAATGTCTATGTTTTACTTATGTGCATTGTGTTAAAGCTATTTATAAAAGACAAATCGTGCTGATCAAAAAAAAGCTGGATGTACATTGTTAATGTGCACCCCGTAGTTCTTATTTTGTCATTTTAAAAATAGCTTTAAATAAAGACATAAATACCTAAATCAGAGCTGCTTTCACTCCAGGCTAAAAATAGCGTCATAGAGCACATACCTCCTGAAGAATAAATATTTACAGAAGACATAAAAGCAGTGCCTTGAAATAGGAGAGCTATTAAATCTGATTAAATGTCCCCTTTAAATGCATGGTTGTGCCACGAAAACCCGTTTAAAATGTCGACCTCGTGACGTGAAACAATTCAAGTGAAAAGGAAGAACATAAAGATTTATTATCGATTAAAATACTCTTATATAAGATGATTCGGTGACAATATGGAAAGAAAATAATAAGATATCATGCAGTGAGATGAACCATGAGCAATAATTGCACGCCAATTAAAAGCATAATAAAAAAAGAAAATGTGGATATTTTTAGCTTCGCTGCAGGCTACAGCAGAGTAAAAGCCTCTCTTCATCCTGACACAGTGAAAGTCATGTCTTCCATGGATTTACTGCCTGTCTCACGGCCCAGTTTGCAGCACTGGCCTGACATTGATGTTATAATCTCTAAAAACAATCGATAGACAGGTGAGCGCAAAGGACACACTAACGTAAAGGACTACATTATCTCAGGGAGGGATTTCCAATTATACACACGTGGTGGCCTAATAACCCCTGCTGTGTGCTGTGAATAACCAATCAGCTCGGAGGAATAAGCCTTATTAAGTTCGTATACAATGTGTTTGGCTATGATCTTAACCTTTACTTCAGTCCTTTTTTTAATTATTATTAGCTTGCTGTCAAATCAGCAAATAATCTCTTCTCTCTGCCAAATAACATTATATTTGAGCGAGCTATTATTAAATCGAAATTGGCACATTGGCAGGTCATATATTGGTTCTTATGGTGTCACTTCCTGGCCTATAAATAAGATTATTTTAGTTCAAATGTGGCGTGCCAATTACCCACTTTAGCCACCAACCGCGCGTATTTAAGGGGAGAATCTAACACTAAATAATCTCGAGTCGTGACTGTGCTGGCCTCTGTGTTTTGACTGGGGAAGCGGGTTGTGTTGTTAAAAGCGACTTATCTGCGCTGCTCAGATATCCGGCAGCCCTTTCCTGGGAAGTCAGGTTTTCACATTAGAGGCGAAGAGGAGAGAAAGGGTCCAGGACTGGACAGCCATACTTGCCTCGAAAGATTTTGCTCATATAAGAAGGCTGGGGAACTCCTCTAAAGATAAAGATGCAGCTTTGATGATAGGGGCTTTCCCTGACATAACTGCTAACAAATAACTCGACTTGGAGCATTCATAAGTATTGCAATAAAATAGCCTACAAATGTATCGTAAAATGAAAAATAATGTTTAAATGATGGAGCTCATTGTGCGTTTTTGAATGCAGGCCTGCAGCCACAAGCTACAGAAGCTCTCTTTAATGGAGGCAATGCATCTCCAGAATAATACACATGGGGCCTGAACAGAATAATCAATGACAATTTTAGCAAATAAAAAATAGCATCGTCATTGCATTTAAAAAAAAAAAAAAACGGTGCAGTTTTTCTATGGTAGTATCTGAAAACAGAGACCTGCACTTGTCGAGTCAATTTCCTGCAGCTAATAGGCCTACTTCTTCCTGGATAGGGGAAAAACAGAGAGAGAGACGGAAATGTCATCAATAGAGAAATGTGGTGGAGACGTACCAGCCGCCGCTTGGGTTTGATGAGAGGGCGATTCTGCCCGTTCATCTTGTGATAGAGTTCCGCAGGCGTTACACAGATAGTGACCCGTACCGTCCCCTCCACAGCGGAGTAGACGTGGCCCCGCAGTTCACACACTCTCTACCTTCTGCAAGAGCCACCACACATTCACACACACGCACAGAAAACATGGGAGAGAGTACCAGGTCAGTTAGTCCTTGAAAAATAATTATTGATGCATGTCAAGACACACATTACATCTGGTAAAAACATGCAATATGCAGGAAAAGCATCAACAACCATGATAATGTAATATTTCAAAGACAGGTATGACTTATACTGCAGCACATATTTAATTTTTACCACAAACATTAACTCATTAGACACATGTAAATGTTGATTATGATGAATAGTTTTTGTTGAGGTCCGTAAAACAGAATTTCTTTTTAAAACACCAAATATTTTAGACAACGGTTTCATGGTTTTAAAAATAGTCCGTGGTCATTTAAACAAAAATAAGCCTTCTTATTTTTCTTGTCATCCAGTATATAGTTTGAATAATAATAATACGTTTATTTTTCCTATATCTTTATTTTTTCATATGTATTTTATTTTGAAACGATTGAGGGGTCCATGTTTGACTTCTCTAGTGACCCCGACAGGTGAGCCGCGCACTGACAGTGTGATTATAGAGAGGGGGGGGGGGGCTGAAACTGAAACAAGGGTGCTGCAGCCACACTCACATTATTTGAAAGCAGAGACTCACACAGGGCTTTTGTGCAACGCAGAGAGCCTTTTTGCATTTTCATGCAGCCGCACTTCCCCTTTTTCTCGAGCTGCAAAACACACACAGCCCTTCTTCTTCACACATCAGAGACATGTGTCAGGCTGGCTCGTGCCCGCGTTTTAACGTGACAGACATGCAAGTGTCTAAAAAATAAATCTGTCTTATCCTGCTGCTGAAATCAGACATGATCCAGTGCATATTGCTCGAGTAAAAACAGGCCTCAGCAATGCAGATTTAGAACATTAAACAAGGTGTGTTTGACGCGAACACTGAACTAATAAAATCTGAATACTAATCATATCGGTAAATATCTTAAAACGCACATTATCCTCCAATTAAAATCTTTATGTGCATTAAGTGTGTGAATGCTGAATAATCCCGATGATATGCATCAACTAATCCACAGTTTTCTATACTCCATTCAAAGCCTCTGATATTAATCTCATTACAGGAAACTGCTTTTCAGCCGCAACCTTTAAAATAATTACCATCCTTGCCTAACATTTTTGAAATATCTCCCCACACTCTCTTTTTCCCTTCCCTCCCGCAATGCTTCGTGCACGGCAGAGGCTCAGCCGCTTTTCCCTGTGAATGAACGAGCAGCATCCGGTGCTCTCGCGCTGGATAAACAATGCACTGTGGCGTGCACTGGTGTGACAGTAATGGGATTATCCTAAACATATAAACGGGGGGCGACACTGGCCGGAGAGCTGGCTTCCCCTCTGTCCTCTCTCTGCCTCTGTGAGTGTAGAGGAGGAAGAAAAAACATGACCTAAATGAATCTAAGCATTCAACCCCTTTGCGTAATGATTGGGGTTTTTTGTTGGGGTAAAAATATCTTACTTTGGGATATAGTATTTTTTAATTGTTTTATATTGTATTTATGTTTTTTCCACATATTTAATTTGGTAATTTGTCTTGTATTATATATTTTTTATCTTAATGTATTATTATTATTATTATTATTATTAGTAGTAGTAGTAGTAGTAGTATTAGTATTATTATTTGTGTTATTATTATCATTATATCAGATGATGAAAGAAAGCTTTGAGGCATATTGTACGCCTGATTATAATGCAGCTTGACCTGCATGGCCTTTAGCCCCAAAAGGAAAAGTTGTTCATGTGAGGGATGAATGAGCTGCTCATGGGCATTTTTTGTATATGAGATTGAACATGGCTGCAAATCTGGGGAATAATGTTACATCAAAAGGGAATGTAGTAAAGCGCACGCCTACCTGAACAGGACCTTGATTTTGGTCTTGTTTTGGAACCATAACTAGAGGATGACCCACCTATCAGGCTACTTGGTGGGAAGAGGCCTGGGCCGTATTCAGGGACATAAGATGGGTATGAGGCGAGTGGGTGGTGGGCAGAGGAAGACCCTGCTCCGATTGATGCCACGCTCCGGCTGTGAGCTGACTCCAGTTTCATACTCTCGGCCAGGGTCACCTGGTACTTTATGCACTCTTTGTCCTCCTGTCTCCCGGAGTTAGACATGCCGGGGTCCGGGGACACGTCTTTTGGCGGGGTCGGGGGAAACGTGAAGAGGTGCGGACTGGAGTGACCGGTGGACAGGGAGGAGGAGGAAGCGGAGGGGTAGACGGACAGGCCTGCCGGGGAGCCGTGGTGCAGGGGGTTTTTGGGGAAGGGGCTCAGGTTCCAGGGAGACGTGCTGTGGTGCGGGGCGATGCCTTTGCTGCCCTCCAGCCAGGGCAGGGAGCCGTGCAGTAATGAGGGACGGCACACCTGGCTACCTGGGTCGCAGAAACACAAGAAACATCACAACCTGAGCTCAGTCTGCGACCATACAAACACACTTTGATCAACCATTTAGCAGCGTAAAAGTCGAACTGTGTGCCTGAACAAGCCCTCGATTAATCACGTACTGACAGTTTCATTTTTTTTAAACACAAAGCCAGGATTTAATTTGCTTATAGCTTTTTATTTAACACTTCTAACAATAATATTTCACCTAGAAATCATTCGTTTCCCTGTTATGTATAGAAACGAGTTACATATGCATATTTTGCCCTGTGCTTTTTTCTTTTAAACAGGCCCTGATGCAACTAAATGCTTGTAAGTCAAAAGCCTAAATAGAGACAACGTGGTGAATTAACTGTTGAGGAAGTCTACGATATAGGGAACTCTTAAAAATAACTACGACCTAATGAACAATATATATACATATAGAAGTGAAAACATGCTATTTAAAATGACCAACATATTCCAGGTGAAACTGAGACATCTGTGCCAACATATCTATTTGTTTAAATTCATAACTAAATTGGGGAAATAAATTACGCGCGGAATTTTAATAGAAGCTTCTGACATATATGGGTCAGCTGGATGTAATATTTAGTTCCATGTCTGTGAAGTTTAGACGGGGATAGAATGCGATATAAGCGGTAGACAGAAACCAAAGATAAACTGGAGGTAAACCATACATATTTACGGGGTGGTTTCACAACACTTTACGCTCTCAGGTCTTTTAAGACCATGTCAACTCAGGCCAAAACCGAAACCTGGCCTGGATCACAGTCAGATAATGCAAACAATTCCAAGCACAGTGACAGTAATTGAGTATTTGCTTCAGGGCTAAATTACGCACAGGGGATCTAAAGACTAGCCTAGCCTATAATGTTCACATTATTAAATAAAAGGCCTACACAGGGGCTTTACTTACTGTGTGGAGGAGGAGGGTACCTCTGGACGGCTCGCACTGAGTTTCCATAGTATTGAGGGACGTGGTTCCCCTGCGCGTCGATATTAAAGAGTACATCCACATCGTCAGGTAGCTGGTACTGCGAAGGGTCCATGTATGAGTGGCCGAGGCCCGGGTGATGTGAGCCGGGGTGCTGCTCATTCAGATGATGGCTCATCCATCTTGGCTGATCCGAACTTACTTCCATTGCTTTTGTTGCTTTTTTTCTTTAGTAAATGTTCATGCACTCCGAAGCAAATCGGTACAAGTCACGAGATAAGAAATAAACTGTCCCAAATCCGTGTTTCTTTCAGTTAAATCCACAGGTTCCGCGCTTGCTTCCGATCACCTGGAGACAGAGATAATAATTAATTGTCTTATTGTTTTTATAGTTCACATGCAGTAAGCTACGGCTAAAATAAATGTTCCCGGGTTAAAAAGAAAAAACACAAAACCTACCCCTACATTACAAATGCAACAAAGCTGTTGTCATAATAATACGTCCAAAATGGAATCCAGCTCCACGCAGAGTTCCTGAACCGCTCTTTCAGAAGAACAACCGTTTTCACAGCCAGGCTCAACAAGTGAGTGGAGGTTCTGCGCAGCGGATGGCTTCACTGACCGGCACCAGCATTTAAACTCTGTGATCAAATCTGTTTGTGCGCAGTTGTACCCTCTCCATTAACTCCTCTCTCTCTCTCTCTCTCCTCTCTCTCCTCTCCTCTCTCCTCCTCTCTCTCTCTCTTCTCTCTCTCTCTCTCTCTCTTCTCATCTCTCTCTCTCTCTCTCTCTCTCTCCTTCTCTCTCTCTCTCCTCTCGCTCGTCTCTCTCTCCTCTCATCTCTCTCCTCTCTCTCTCATCTCTCGCTCTCCTTCGCAGTCTCGTCTCGTCTCGTCCTCGTCCCTCTCCTCTCTGGATCTCTCTCTCTCTCTCTCTCTCTCTCGTCTGTGTGGCGTTTGCTCACTCGCCCTTGCTCTACCCTCTTCTCTCTCTCTTGCTCTCTCTCTACTCTCTTTTTTTCTTTTCTTTTTTTTACAGTGAAGGCATTCTTTCAGGATGGGCGCCAGGCAGCTCAATGCTTGCAGACAGCTGTGGGCGCGACGCAACTTAAGGAGGGTCTGTCAGTGTCATCAGTTAAGGGGAGGGGCCTGCCCTAATTGAATATAACGTAGACCAGGGGGGAGGCAGGAAGATTTCTTGCAGTGACCTCCTCCAAAAAGATATCATTTATATAGAAGGTAATTCTTCTAAATAGGCCCAATAAAACACCCTTATCGTGCATGGAAACAAACAAAAAGGCTACACACGTTTTTTTTTAAAAGAGGAAAAATTAAGCATCTCCCCTCCTAAAGAAACATCTAATTAAAATAAAAGTATTACAAAATAAAGCTTCTTTTTTTTTTTACTACAGTTTGCATTTTTGTTTTACCAGCTTGTGTGTGCAGGAGAAGCAGCAGCAGAGCCTGTTGCTCTGGGCCAATGGCAGGTTGCGGAACATTTACACTCTTAAAATTGTGACAGTGCGTCCTCTCGCGGTGACAGGCACATTATTCTAATGGCAGATCCGAATTGAGCAGGCGCGGACAAGGACAAACTGGCAGTCTCACTGATCTTTAGACTGCGAAAAATAAATAAACTAAACCCTATAATATAGGCTTGTATTGTCTTTCAGTTAACTTACATGCATCTGAGCAATAACCATACCCTCAGACACACAGGCAACAATGGCTCATGTCATTATTTATTAAGAAAACAGCGCATTTATTGTAACGCCATAGAGCTCACAGGAAGTGATTTACACCCCCCCTTTTTTCACCTTTTTCAGCTTTAACAAATTAACAACAACAATAATTACAAAATAAATAAAACAATGTCCCATTTAAATCAGAGAGGTGTTACTCTGTGTTCAATTTCATAGGCTATGCACGATGCCTCGCAAAGGGGGGGGGGGGGGGGGGTCCCTTGGGGAAGTATTTTATGTCTGAAGCCCATTTTGGCTTCTCCATATCCTCTCAGATTGTGTAATATAGATTGTGTGTGTGTGTGTGGGGGGGGGGCAGCCTCGGCGACGCTACTGGATGTGACGTCACCGCGGTGTTAAACAGTCAGGAAATGAGCCCTCACTCCCACTGAAGCGCGCAGCAGTGGGTAGGCATCGGGTGCGCGCACGCCCTTGCACCACGACGCACTATAATATCAGGTAGGGTCGGTTTAATGTGGCTGCACCAAAGTGCATGAAATTGACCATAACTGATCTATAGTATTCATTATAAAAAGGCTTTATTTTAATCATCAGAAATGTTTAACCCAAGGCCATGTGCTAAGGCGATGACGCATTAGCTATTATTACTTTAATGCATTTTCTTTGATATCGAGGTTGTTCTGAGTGACTGAGCGAGATTTGGCAAAGCGTTGTTTTCTCTCTCCAGGATAGCCCTATACCTGGAGAGGGGGGAGCGTTCCTCACTCATGCAAACCTGAGACTGAACTTGGATGCAAACTGCTGTAGCTGCCATTGTCAAACTGTCAGCGGACTCGTGTATATCCTCTTGAAAAGTATCGCGGAGCCATTATCCACAAAGTACCCTTTAGGTGCTCAGAGGCAACACATGACGGTAAATGTAGCCTCAAATCCCGATTATGTTTGTTTGTTTCATGACTTGGGTGTATCGAAGCTTAGAGAATGGGACATGGAAGCCATCCCATGTCTTGATTCCCTAGCCTCCGTGTCAATAACGCCGGAGCTTATTCAGCACAGAATACGACTGGCTCTCTTAAAAAGTTGTCATTGATAATCCCAAACTGTCGCTATGAGGGGGAACGAGTGGCTTCAGTTTATTTTCTCTGTCAGTGTGTGAGTGTGAAGCGTTGCTCTATTTTTGAAGTTATTGGCCTACAAATACAGAGCTGTTGTGCGTAAAGGTTGATTCATAAAAGTAGGCGAGGGGCCAATCGGGTTTCTTGATGGCAGAGATCTGATTATGTCAGCCAGCCGTGATTAAAATCAAAACATGGATGGCACAGTTCCTTTTCTAAATCACGGCTGAGAATTTAAGACAGTAACGGATTAAACCATTGCCAGTGAGGGGGATGTTTTAGATAACGTACTGTGTGTGTGTGTGTGTGTGTGTGGTGTGTGGTGTGTGGTGTGTGTGTGTGTGGTGTGTGTGTGTGTGTGTGTGTGTGTGTGTGTGTGTGTGTGTGTATATGTGTGTGTGTGTGTGTGTGTGTGTGTTTACTTTGTCCCCCAACTTCCTGTGTGTGACCTCATCAGCAATTACAATCACTCTTTTGACTCATAAATAATATTGTCCTTCCGCCAGCTGATTTATCAGAAGTCAGGCAGATACAGTCACACAACAATAATAGGCTACTATAAAATAATATTTAAAAAATACACTAGCCTACTATATATTAGTAATACTAACAATAAATAAATACATTCAATAATGATAACACATGTTTAAATAAGCAACACAAATAAATGTTGTTTGGAAATTAGAGCAAATACAATACAGAATTGTACAATATTATGAATGTGTGTGTGTGTGTGTGTGTGTGTGTGTGTGTGTGTGTGTGTGTGTGTGTGTGTGTGTGTGTGTGTGTGTGTGTGTGTGTGTGTGTGTGTGTGTGTGTGTGTGTGTGTGTGTGTGTGTGTGTGTGTGTGTGTGTGTGTGTGTGTGTGTGTGTGTGTGTGTGTGTGTGTGTGTGTGTGTTGTGGTGTGTGTGTGTGTGTTTTGTGTGTGTGTGTGTGTGTGTGTGTGTGTGTGTGATCAAAAGCTTTGGTGTCTGGGTTTTATCATATTTTGCTCACTTAATTTCAACCTAAACTGTACTTATGTTACGAGCATTTATTCATAAATATAAAATAATTTATATTGGCGAATACACACATGTGATATAAATGATAAAAACAGTAGAATGCTATATGTTTTGCCTGCTATAACAATGAAGATGCCCAGTCACCCACTATTTAAAATGATATCCGTAATCGTGATATGGTAAATGCTCATACATTTTGAAACCACCCCAGCTAACCTTTATGTTTAATTTATTTTACCCTGTGAGTCATTTGTCACCTTACTAGTCTTTTCAAGAAAAAGGAGCTATTCTGTCAGCATGTGAACCAACTCTGCTTCTCAGAACAAAACGAGGGCGTCAAATTCTGCTTTGTTGAGCGCGTAAAACTTGAAGTGGATTTCCTAGAATGATTAAAAATGAGAACATAAGCCGTAGGATAAATCAGCTTTTACTTCGATTTAAAAAAAAGACAGAGTAGCACTTCGTATTTTGTGTCATTCTTACCAACGAAAAAAAAAAAAAGAAAAAAAAAACGGTCTGCCAATTGACTGATGCTTATCAGTGTCTATATCGCTCCTCGCCAGATGCACTGATGTAATCTTTCATTTAGCGTGCTGGGCCTTTTCACCTCGTAGATCCCCAACAGAAACAAAGTCATTCATATTTTTATCTAATTCATTAATTCTGCGTTAAACATGACACCCTTTTATTATCGCTCAAATGTCCTGAATTTTGAGCCTAAAGCAACATCTTAAAGTATGTGTGCCATAATAAAACAAATTCTGCCACAAAATTCAAATGAAACCACATTCTCTGTCTTTGTTTGAAAAAACAAACCTTAGTAATAATGTTTGAAAGCAAAACAATATTTAATCCAACATAAATGACCAGTGTAGACATTTGTAAAACAAATACAAATATATAAAATACCGATTAGGATCAAATCAAGGGTGCGCCACGTCTCTTTGCATGCAGTAAGAGCTATTGGCCCGTAACGTGTGATGCCCTTAATTTGGTATTCATTCTAACATCGGCCATATCAATACATATCGACCAAGACGAGATGGAGGAAACAAATAACAGAGGGGGGAAACGCAGCTTCAGCAAACTCAACTCTTTTTTTTACGACTGCCGGCAATAATCAGATAAATTTCACGGCTTCTATGGGATCCTGCTTATACCGCCAACCTGAGCTAGGTAATAGGTTGTTAAAAACCTCATCTGCGCTATTTTAGGGGGCCGGTTTTGATGTAGGTGGTTAAATATTTGAAGAAATGCAGTTAGCTGGCCACATTTTGTTGTACATATCAATCCCAAGTGACACAAGTGGAAACTATGGCTAATTATTACCGTAGCTAATTTCGCTCTCGGTGAAAAAAATAACAACTAACAGCTCACAACGACGTTAAAAGGCATCCATGTCGGACGTTGTGGACATTGTATTATCAACACCCCTTTTCAGTGCACACAGAGATAAATGAAGCGGCAGCTCCCTCTCTGGATTTAACGAAGTCCCGATTTATTTTCGTTTTATTTTCATTTTACGCACACGATAACCCCTTCGCAAAAGTTTCCCATCATTCAAAAACGAAATACAAAGCCAGCGAGTGAAGAGGTAGCCTATTGGACAGAGCATTACGGATGATGGAGAGCGAATCTTAATATTTAGGCTACTGACCTGTAGTGGACGCTGATCGGAGACTTTTTTCTGCAAATGTGAAGAAAGAGTGACATAGAGGTGGAGACGCCGATGGCATTTAGAGTTAGACGGAGAGACAGTGAGAGTGGTGCACGAAGAAGAAGAAGCAGAAAAACCCTCTCAGTGGTGGTGTGCGCCCTCGGTCCCGGAGTCACATCACCATATAACACACTGCGAGCAGAGACACCCGCACTGACTGTGAGTGCACACCAGCACTTCCGG